AAAAAAAAAAAAAAAAAAAAAACACGAAGGGATACGTAACTTACGTTGACGGGTTGTTGATAAGACGCGATGTACTGTTTTCTCATGATCCTACGACGTCGGTGCATGTTGAAACGATGCCCTCGACGAAGACCTGGAATATAATAAGAAAAGGAAAGATTCAATAGACATGTATGAAGAAGCGGAAACTTGGACAAGTCGCGTGATGTTTTGCAGGAGCATGCTAAACTGTGTGAATGCATTAGAGGGACACATACCGCCAGCAGAGAGTGCAGCCCTGATGGTGGCCGAGGAGAAGCCACATCCTGATTCATGTAAGGCTTAAAAACCTGACCAAGATCGTCCACAATCATCTGTCACCATATAGTCATTTCCGTCTTTATACGACAAACAATTCTTTCGATTTTCCATCCGATAATTTAAGAAAATATAATAACAACGCAAGGGGAAACATCTACAATTTTAAATAAAAAAAACTTACGCTCAATTAAGTTACTTTGAGTTTTTCAAAGAATTGTTTGTTACTTGTCGCCTATACCATCTACCTGTCATTGTGCATGTCATAATGCCATCTGTGTATGTTCGTGAATTTTGTTTATTTGTAGTTTCATTGTGATACATTCGTTTTAAATTTATTTGCGACTATTATTTTTCTGCTTTCAGTATGATTCAAAAGTGCAGAGGAATAAAAAGTGCTGATTATATGAAATCAAAATTACATTGCTGCTTCGCTACTACAAGATATACAAGTGATCCTAGCAGAGAACAATGTTACACTACCTATATATTTTTGTGTTGACAATAGTAAATTAGAGGAATACAGTCGTACACAATTCCGTTGTAAATGAGACAAGAAGCTATTTTAATCACAGATGTTCAATCATTGATCACGGATGTATAATACATACATAAGACGTTAGAAGTTAAACATTTCATTCGGCAATCGGTATCTCTTGTAAATGCTCATTCTCCAATTTTGGTTCGTTCCTAATTATTCGCCTTTTATTATTCTACGGTAAGGAATTCACCCAAAAATTTACGATCTCATTA